TTTTAAATCAAAAACTTGTTACTTCACAGTAAAAAAACAAACAAAAAAAATCCCAACATAATTCTGGGAATTAACTTTTCTATCATGCAGAAATCTACAAGGTAACGTAAATTTTACATTGTCTGGGCTCTAATCAAGATTAAAGAGAATGGTAAAACACAGACAGAAGTGCCAGTTTAATTTTCTTAAGGAAAAATAATCCTCAGACGTTTTCATTAAATTATGATCCACTGTGACATCGAAAATATATGCTATACCCTCTTGGCTTTATTTCGAAGTTTTGGATGATTTTCCATAAACTATGAATATGACATGCTTATTCAAAATTTGACATCTTTGCACAGATGCTAAGAATGTCTTTACCCTACCTTCACTGTTTTTATAGTAAACAGCATCCTTCAAAATCTTACCTAAACTGTTTGCTAACACTAAATTTGCTAAGACTAATATCCATAGTTGTTTTGATAATATTCAGGGTAAAAAAAATTACCTAGAATACTGAGATACCCAATTTTCTTTGATAAGTTTGCTCATGTCCTAGAAGAAAACAAACAGCATGTCTCCTATCCAGGAATTTATCAATTGCATTCATATTCTGAAAGAACAAACATTTTGTTTTGCTAATTTTCTTCATTATTGGCCATTTTCAATTCCATTGACTTCTGCTCTGATTTTTATTGTTTCTTTCTTTTGATTTACTTTGGATTTAGCTTTTGTTTTTAGGTTACTAAGGTAGAAATGAAGATCCATTTTTTTAACATTTCTTCATGTCTAGTATATACATTTAGAACAGTAGATTTCCTCTCTAAACATTGCTCTACTTGCATTCTGTAAATTTTGATATGAAGTCTTTTCATTATTGTTTAACTCAAAATAGTTTAGATTTTCATTGTGATTTCTTCTTTGACCCCTGTTTATTTAGAAGTGTACTAATTTTCAAAGACTTGGCGAGTTTCTAGATATGTTTGTCATTATATTCTGTCTTTAATAAAGCTTGTTGAGGTATTATTTTTGTACCGAAAACTGTACTTAATTCAAGCAGAAAAGGTTGCGTTTTAACAGATATATAACTCTTATGATATCACTGCCAGTCAAGATACTGAATATTTCCATCAACCCCCAAATTTCCTCATACTCCTTTGTAATTCATTACTCTCTCTGCAATAGTGGATTAAAATGATTAAAAACATATACTATATAAACAATAATCAAAAGAAACTTGGAGTAGCTTTATTACTATCATATGATATAGACATCAAAGCAAGGAAATATTAACTAGGATAAAGAGAGAAAATAGTAATCATTCAAATGTCATAGAACACTCACTGAATAGACTACACTATGGGTCATATAATAGGTCTCAGCAAATTATTAAAAAATGAACTTATACAAAATGAGGAGAAATACAGCCTGTGACAATCAGGAGAGGTAACCTGGCATATTTTCTGAGGAAAACAGAATAAATTTGTTCTAGAGTAAAGTTCAGTTTGTTGCAGAATATTAAAGACATAGTAAAGGATAAAACTTGAGTGTATATAGCAAGTTGTAGAAGATTTGAGGAAAGTGAATTTTATTTGCCATACTTTAGACTATCTGAAAGAATATAGACAAGATATTGTAATATTTTGGCATGTTTTTCTTAATTTTGATGGGTTTATTCATAAAGATACAGTACTATCCTTTATTGCCAAAGACTAAATTAATGCAATATTAGAATTTTATTTTCTCTCTGTGAAAATATTAATTGACCTTGAAATATTTAGTCTGCTTTTAGCAAGGATAATAAAAGATTATTCCTTACCTTCTGTGAAATCTGCAAGTTTTGCAGAAATTCTGTATATCACCAGAATAATTTCCTGTATTTTGTGCTGACTTTATGTTCTTGATTATCTAAAAATAAGTTCATCTCTTTAGAACAGGTAAAGTTCCTTACAGTTTTATTACCTTCTTATAGTATTATTGTAAAATACAGTTTTCACTTTGATTTATGTGTAGTTAGCCTATTACTCATCCCTGCTCGTAGGTAATTGTGCTTCTGTTTCAATCAAATGACCAAATGTTTTTTGATAATTATTTTGCTTCCTCAAGATTAGATCCTAAATTCAAAAAAATAAAATTTTTAAATATCTTTTTCATTTTTTATTATGGTAAAATATATGTAACATAAAATTTACCATCTTTTCCACTTTTAAGTGCACAGTTCTATAGCATTAAGTGCAAAAAACTCACATTATTGTGCAGCCATCACCACCTCCATCTCCAGAACATTTTCATCTTCCCCAACTGAAACTTCATACCCATTAACAGTATCTCCCCATTTCTCTTTTCCTCTAGCCCCTGGCACCCACCATTCTACTTTCTGTCTCTGTGAATTAGACTACTCCAAGTAGCTCATACAAGTGGAATCATATCGTAGTTGTCCTACTGTAAGCAGTTTATCTCACTTAGAATATCTTCAGGGTTCATCCATGTTGTGGTATGTGCCAGAATTTTCTTCCTTTTTAAGGCTGAATAATATTCCATTGTATGTATATACTGCGTTTTCTTTATTCATTCATCCTTCAGTGGACAATTGGTTTGCTTTCACCTTTTGGCTATTGTGATTAATGCTGCTATGAACATAGGTGTACAAATATCTCTTCAAGATCCTGCTTTTGAGTCTTTGAGGTATATACCCAGAAGTAGAATTGCACAATCATATGGTAATTCTATGTTTAATTTCTCTTAGGAAATGTTATACCAGTTTCCATAGTGGCTGCACCATTTTATATTTACACCAGCAATGCCAAAGTTTCCAATTTTTCCACATCCTTGTCAACACTTATTTTCTGTTTTTTTAATTAATAGCTATTCGAATGGTTGTGAAATGATATCTCATTGTGTATTTGATTTGCATTTCTGTAATGATCAGTGATTTGAACATTTTTTCATGTGCTTATTGGCCATTTGTATATCTTCTTTCAAGAACTGTCTATTCAATTTCTTTGTCCATGTTTAAATCTAGTTGTGTATATTTTGTTGAATAGTAGGAATTTTTTTAATATTCGGGAGGTTAACCCCAAATTAAATATATGATTTACAAATATTTTCTTCCATTCCATGGGTTTCCTTTTCTTTCTCTTGATAATGTTCTTTGATGTGCAGATGTTTTAAGTTTTGATGTAGTCCAATATATCTTTTTTCTTTTTTTGCCTGTGCTATTGGTGTCATATCCAAGAAATCATTGCCAAATCCAAACTCATGAAGCTTTGCCCATATGTTTTCTTCTAAGTGTTGTTTTTTTTTTAAGTATTAGCTCTTAAGTTTAGGTCTTTGATTCAGTTTAAGTTAATCTTTTATATATGGTATAAGTAAGAGTTCAGCTTCATTCTTTTGCACGTGACTATTCCGTTTTCCCAGCACCATTTGCTGAAAGAATATGGAATGCTTTACAAACTTGTATGTTATACTTGTATAGGGGCCATACTAATCTTTGAAGTATCATTGCAGTTTTAGTTGATGTGCTGTGGAAATGAGTATTAGCTATCTTTTAAAATTAAAATTATCTTTGATATTTCTCAAAAGTCCCTGGAAAATCACAATTTATGCATTTATCTTATAAAAAGAGAGATGCCATAAATATTTTAAGTTGCTTTGATATACTTTATACTCCTGAACTAGCTTATCACTAATATAAGGAATTCATGAGAAGAATTAGCAAATGAAAAGACAATTTTATACAAAAAGATAATTTTGTACAAATAAAATATTATTCAGATGACATTTTCTGAGATTATATATTGTACAAAATAAATTGACAAAGTCAAGAGACTTGCTAATGCCTTTATTGTCTGTGATATAATCTTATCCAAGGAAAAATATTAATAAAACTCTTATGAAAGAGGTACCTATTATACCCCAGTGGAAAAGCTCACTCTATTTAGTTGTGATATTGTTAGTTACTATAATGAATCAGTCTCATCAATTTACTCATACTATAAAGCAGGCAATTCTGCTTCTTTGGTGATTATAGTATAAAACTATTCTTTACTAGATCTGGGAACAATAGTACTCTTAAATAGTTCTTCAAGAGAAGCACTTCAAAAAATTATGTTCAAGTAAGAAAACATAAAGTGTTAAGCCATGTATTGTGAAATAATTACTATACCCCCAAAGCAATTATTTTATTTTGTAAAGATTTTCGGAAATAGCATGAAAACACTGCTTTTGCCTTGTCAATGAAAAAAAGAATTCTTTAGGGGGAGATGCCAAGATGGCAGAGTAGAGAGACTCACAAGTTGCCCTCTCCCACAAATACACCAGGAATTACATCTACAAACCCACTGACTCACACAGAACACCTGCTGAACTCTGGCAAAGTGTCTCTTGCTTCAAAATACAGGAGGATTCTCACAAAATCCAGTAAAAAACAAGTTTGTACTATATAGCACAGGGAACTATTTTCAATATCTTGTCATAACTTACAGTGAAAAAGAACATGAAAACAAATATGTTTGTTCATGTATGACGGAGGCATTGTGCTGTACACCAGAAATTGACATCACATTGTAAATTGACTATACTTCAACAAAAAAATTTTTTTAAACAAAGCAGTAGAGTTTTTGAAGACTATATTAAAATACAAAGTTCATGAAAGATGTTTTTGCTCTTTTTGATGTATAATATTTTGTTACACATTAATATATTTTTAAATACATATTCAGTCCCCAAAGAAAGCATATTTTATTTTAAATATTACTTTTTACATAATAGGCTTTGTGTTACATAGCTAATCAAGGAAATTTGGCATCTTTGTTTTCTTACTGAAAAGGAAGGAGTCTAAATTTATCCTTATATATGTTTTAAATTATTAGATATCATAAGTTTAAGTATTTTAAAGTATGAATATTATATTGTATCCTTTGACATGCAAATATAAAATATTTATATAAACTATTTACTTTTTTATTGTATACATACAAAGATGGATAAAATGATTTTTAAAAAGTTGGAGAATTCATAAGTAAAAAAAGGTTAGAAAATATTGAGCTACCTATTAACTTTAAAGAAAATTTTCTTAATAAAAAATAATGACAGATCTATGTTAGTGAAAAAAGTAACTCACAATTTTATAATAAAACAATCCTCAAAAAAAAAAGGGAAATTTTTCTAATAGATATATACATAAATTCTAATTGTGTCTAGGTATTCATAAGATTTATAGCAGTGGTAAAGTACCATTTAAAAATTTTTGAAGCTGCTTATAAGGTCAGGCAACTCAACATGGCTGTTCTCTTGCTCTCTGTACATCTCCCCTGCTGGACCAGTGCCTGCTTCACCTATACCCTACTCACCTGATTGACCTTCCCACATTCTTGCTCCAGGCCTCAGCTAATGACAGCTCTAGCTTTAGATCAAAACTCTCCATTATGCTTATCAAAGGGCTGGTGAGGGGTGTGCCCCTCTGCTGGTTTCCCTGGTAACTAGTGAGCCAATACCCTTTATAATTGGTAACCTCCCACTGTCCCTGGGGGAGTGAAGACTGCTGCCATATCCTGCCCACAGTGTGCAGCACAAGGTGGGGTGTCCCTCCAGGACCTTGCATCCAACATGTAAGATCCCCCTTATACATTAAACTATTTATGTCTCTGTTGTTGACTCCAGGTTCTTTCCTTGGTCTGGAAGCTGGGCAAGTACAGGCCTTGCAGGCCCATGGGGTGCAGTCCAACACTGCTTAATTTTTTAATTTTGCTGAATTTTAAAATTATTTGTATTAGAAAAGTATTTTTGTGTCTTATCCATTTTATAAGGCATTTAAATTAAAGAGGCATTCTTAGAAATGTTTACATAATAACAATTTGGCAACTGAGAGCAGAAACATATATAGCCTCTGTAGTTTCAACTTAAGGATAAATCCACTTTCTCTTTCTCCAGCTTCTGGTCCTCATAAATTCAAATATTTTGCTAATGGCAAATTCACTATGCCTGGGACTTTCAAGAATTTTAAAGCCTCCTTTCTTTATGACACTTAGGTAAGTACTGGGATGGCTTCTGAACTTTTCAAAGAGTATTGTTTTTACTAATTTTGTGGGTGCAGTCAAAGAAACTTTAGGAAACAAGGTTGTTTGGGGATACTTTCAGTATCATCTTAGGTAATAGTTGGGTGTCCTGCCTGCTTCAGAACTTATTTGTGGAAACCTCTTTATCTACCTGCCCCTACTTGTGACTTCTAGATTCCCAGCAGTGGTTTGAGGTATCATTCTGAGGGCTAAGGATTTACATAGAGTTATTTTTTTCAGTCTTAAACCAGTATATTCAGATTATGTGCAGAAATTCTGGGTTACAATTTATGCTCTTTATGTTACCACAAGAATATAAAAGAATGATGGACATTGAAATTGGTGCCTACCAGCGGAAATACTTGGAGAACAAAAACAAGAACAACAAAACAGTCTGGACATAGGACATTTTCAAGGAGTATTTTTTACAGGAAGAGGAAGTATTTTTAAATACTCTGAATAGAAAAGGAAATTTTACACGTTGTTGATGCCCCCTTCCCCATCCCCTACCACCACCAGTCAAGCCAAATCCTATTATCAAACCTGAAAAATAGGATATAGCTGAATGGATTACTATTAATTTAGAAGTCCAATAGTATAAGCTCTAGGTGATGAGCAAAACTGATTGCAATTAAAGCCTTAAATAATCTCAACTATGCTTTAAAAATGCTTAAAAAATTATGGAAGAACATAGATTGAATAACTAACTAAAATTAAGTCAGAATAATGAATATGATTTTTTAACCTTCTTTTAATTTACTCTGCTCTCAAAATTTTGTATAATAAATCACTTCAATGTTGAACTAAAAATAAAAGAAACCAAAACCTACAAAACCCTCAAGGATGCCTTTTTGAAGCTTCAGGCTGACAAGAAGGGAAAGATGTAGATGCACAAGGTAACATAAAACAAGTTTTAATTAATTTAATTTTTTCACTAATCACCATACTGCTCCATCAGAATAACAAACATTTGCCTATGTCATTAATATAGAAAATATTGTCCCTGTGTTGGGAATACATTTGTGGAAGAGTTATGGAGCACCTAGCAAAAAGATAGCCAATTTTATGATAGAAAGTTTCTGTATTTGCCTAGTAAATGCACGGTTGTTATTCCAGTTTTGACAATAGCAATTAAGCACTTCTGTTAAAGTTACCAACTTACTCCCCAGTTTCCATGGTAACCACTCTTGGAGGTGGTATATGTGTAGAAATTACAAAGTTAAGTATGGAGTTTCTTCCAGAGGTAAGTTCCACAGCTCAAGGCTGAGAGGTGAATTGTCTGTATTAGAGTGGACCTTAAAATGCACTGATACTTCTGGTCCCTCTGTAATGATCTTAATGTATTGTTCTTTAGCTGAAGGAAAGGAAGTTGTGGAAATGAGAAGAAATAATCAATAAGAAATTAAAGTTCAAAAACAGGAAAAAATACTGCTTAAAGCTTTGCATGCCAATGGACTAGAGGTGAAGAGTTGTGAAAGTAATTCCCTCACAATGTTTCTTTTGTCTGCCCCTAATAAGGAATGCATAGGTTACATATGTATAATCCCTTTACTATGGTAACAGCACCTTTTCCCAGAGCAACAGGAAACAGGAAGGGAAAATTTTTCTGCATGTCTGAGGTGTTAAAATAGGTAAATGTTTTTGGCTAACAGTTTTCACCAGGCTCCTCCCTTCACCAAAACCTCTTGCCCTCCTGCTCTTTTCCTTCCCTTTTTCTGTCAAAACTTACTCCAAAAAATCTGACATAAATATTGTTAAAATATAAATACTTAATTATAGGTGATTATGTTAGGTATTTACTCACAACAAGGAATATGCTCACAACCACAAGGAATGATGCTGTAAGGGTGGCATTTAAGGCATAAAGACAGGTTAAAGAAAAGAGAATCCTTTAATGGATTTTAAATTACACTCTTGTAGCTGCCTTATTATAAAACCATAAAGTTAGCCCTATTCAAAAAGATTTATATATTTCTTCTATTTTTAATTATGGTAAAAAATACATAAAATTTACCATCTTAACCTTCTTTAAGTATACAGTTCGCTAGGGTTAAGTATATTCACATTGTTATGCAGAATCTTCAGAACTTTTTCATGTTGCGAAACTGAAACTTTATACCCATTAAACAACTCCCCATCTCTCTATTCCCCTCAGCCCCTGGGAACCACTATTCTATTGTTCTATGAATTTGGCTACTTTAGATAACTCGTATAAGTGTAATAATTCAGTATTTGACTTTTTGTGACTGGCTATTTCATTTAGCATAATGCCCTCAAGGTTCATCTATGTTGTAGCATATGACATGATTTTCTTCTTTGTTAAGGCTGAATCATATTCCATTGTATGTATATACCACATACTTTTGGGTTGCTTCCAACTCTTGGCTATTGTCAATAATATTACTATGAACATAGGAATGTAGCTACCTTTTTCAAACTCTGCTTCCAATTTTTGATATATATGCAGAAGTGGGATTGCTG